CACCCGCCCCCTCCCCCACGTGAACTCCACCTCCCTCTGTCTCCCCCTTTCTCTCTCTCTCCAAAGTTGACCCATTTCATCAATTCTCTCTCTCTCTAAATTATATGTATATATTTTCATTTATTGTAATGTCCCCATTTCCATAATTATTTCATATTTGAACACAAAAATAATATAAAATAAATCGAATTTCTCAATTTAATTTGGTTCCATGAATCATATCCTAAAAATGATAGTCCAATCATTGCTGTCTCGTCACATAAATATCAATAATCTTATATATTATTTTTTTAATGTTTAGATCCTATTTTCATCTCCTCAATAGACATTTTCCATTATATTCCCAAAAAAAATTGATAAAATATAATATATATGGATCTAATATTTATATTAATTATTTTTTACTTATTTAAAAATAATGAAATATTTATAGGTTAATTTAAATATTTCTTATAAATTTTTAAATTTTCGTAACTTTTCTAAAAATTTTTATCGATATTTTCATGAAATTGAGATAGGAACATTTGAAATATTGCTATGATTCTATTTATGTGATTTTAAAATCCCAGGTTTGATTCTCATTTTTTTTGAAAAAATATTGGTTTCAATATATATATATATATATATTGTAAAATTTTATAGTGATTCATTTAAATTATGATTAATAAATAAGATAAAAATAAATAAATTAATTAAAATGACTACGTTTTTAATAGTATAGGGATAAGAATGAATCAAAATTGACTGTAGATGACCAAAATAGGATTTAAGCATTAATTTATATGTAAATATCTTACTTTTGTTTGTAAACTTTTTTTTCAAAGATGTTTTGTAATTTCTTTGTGTTTTCTCTTTTTTACTTTTCGAAAACTACTTAATTTCATTATTAAAAAATGGATTCATGCTTTTAGACTAAGATTTCAAAAAGGATTTTAAAAAGTTGACTATGAAACAAAATAAATTGAAAATGAATAAGTTTACTTCTCAAAATAAAAAATTCCAAATGAATTAATCTTAAAAAGAAAAAAAAAAACTTTCAAATGATTAAGAATATGAAGAAAAATGAAATATACGGTTAAACTTTCAAGTTTTGACAAAGGTTTATTTTATATTCGAATTCCGTATAAAGAATATTATTTAAATGAAAGATAAAGTATATGAGCACACTTTATTAACTCAAACTTTTAATACAAATATAAAATTGGCTTTTTAACTACATGAATATAATTATATGAACCTTTATTCAGGGCAATTAAAAAGGAAAGTCTAGATTAAAAAATAATTTATTTTCCTTTTAAATAAAAATAGGAATTATTTAATTCAATAAAATAGGTTACCATTGTCTTGAGATTGAGAGGGCGACCATAGGATGCTGTCGGCTCGTCCCCTTTGAAGTTCCACGCTTACAATAATTAGTTTCGTTTTTTTCTTTTGACAGAAAAAAATAATGTTTTCGTTTTTTTTTTAATTTAAATTATTATTTTCATTTTCTCTTCATCGCCATTAGAAGTTGTACCCTACGCGCTCCAAATCACCGATAGTAACAAAATTCAATTATTTCGCATCATGTTCTTTTTTAATATAACATGTGGAGGTGGAGATCGAACTCATAACCTCTTGGTTGGATATATATGTCAATGACCATTAAGTTATGATCGCTTTGACAATTATTTCGCATCATATTCTTATTAATTAATATGACATATATGTATATAATATAGTAGTAATAATGATAATTATGTGTTGGGTTTATAAAGTGATGACAAATAAAGTCCTACATTGACTAGCGAAAGGAATAATCATGGGTATATAAAAGAGGACAATTATCTTCATTGGTATGAGACCTTTTGGGTGAAACCAAAAGCAAAGTCGTGAGGGCTATACCTAAAGCGGACAATATCATATCATTATGGAGATATGATCATGATATCAGAGTCATGGTTTAAAACCTAGCTGTGTCGGTAAATTCGGGGAGACTCGATGGTAGTTTGTCAGAGGGACAAACAAAGTCAGATAAGATCTGAAATGTCAATATCTGCAAAATAAAGGAGTTAACACTTTGAGCTTTTGTTAGTAAAGGATCCTAGAGAGTAAAACTCATAAAATGTTTGTATACCTCATTCCTTTCTCTTCAGGATATTTATTAAAAGGGGAGATAACCGTTCGAGTCGTATACCCAACTGAACAGTTATCTCCGTGCTTTTAGGCGTAAGATACGTTATGAGGCAGGAATCAAGTTAATTAGTAGTTACCATTCAAACGTTAGTGATTAGTTTGACAACCTTGTTTCAGAGCGTCGTTCAAGTTGGGAGATTCGACGTTTATTGTTTTCAAATTCTTTCTTTGTAGGAAACACACGCGAATTCAAGCTACTGACTAAATGATGACATGTTTTGGATCAAATATGATCTTCATCACACAAATTGATTTTAAAAAAAATGAAATGAGGAATACATTCTCCACCTTAATGAATTGTCTCACCACATATAGTTATGAATTATATATTTATCGATATGAATTAAATTAACCAACATGAACTTAGTTCAGCAGTAATTGACACTTATCTATGATCGAGAAGTCATATTCCCGAATAGGTATTCTTTATACTCTATTCCCCTGGCAAAATTTAAAAACTCGTGCAAACTTTTGGGTAAATAGATTAAGAGTGCATTTTCCACTTAACCTACTATATTGTCATTCCAATTCTAGGGATAAGTAATATATACTTTAACCAAAATATTTTATCACCACACCATCAATTTTGTAAAATAAATTTAAATATGGAATAACCACAAAAATCTTAAATTAAATCCCAAAGAGAGCAAATCAAGAATTTAATTAAAATGAGGGACAACAATAAAATAATAAGAATAATAACTCAATTCACAAATCCAGCTCCACTTACAATATAATATTTTCAAAACAAAATTTAAAAGCAAAGATTATATATTATAATTCTCAAACGCATACAAAATGAGAGAGTGAAAAACACGCGCGAAAACCGCGAGTGGAGTTGAGTGCGTGTGGGTGATGAAGATCAATTGTGTAACGAGAAATAAAAAGGGAAGGGAAGGCGACTCTTTTAAATCCTTTTTATCTATCTATTATTATTTTTATTATTTATTCATATTATTATAGAAAAAGTAAGGTTAGGCTATAAATTTGGTATTATAATCTAAGGAGGGGATAAATTTAATCTCTATGATTTTAAATGTTTCAATTTAGTATACACGGATGGAGACCTCACGAAAGTCTTTTAATTTATGGACAAAATTCGAATACTAATAGAAGAGAAGAAGGTAGCTTCAATTCGGCACATCCAGCAAGAGGTGAACACGATTACTCATAAATTAGCACGTAAAGCGTCAATCGAATTACTTTAGTTATGAATTTTAATTTGTTTGACTTTTTTTTAAGTGTTTAATTTCAAGAAAAAAATAAATTTTGCATATAATCATTGTTAGAATCATATTGATGATATATTGTTTCTCATGCAACAATTTCCTATTTGGGTAATTATGTTTCTTTAGTACAATATGTGGAGGTCAAGGATCGAACTCACAACCTTTTGATTGGAGATATATATCAATTATTACTGAGCTATGTCCGTTTTGGTATTTGGGTAACTATGTGAGTTGGGTATATTAAAGTTTAAGATCAAGTAAGAAGATAAAAACAAGCGGCTGAATTTTTCAAGTAGATAAAAACAAAATTTATGAACAATAATATTGAGCTAATCTGAAAATTGGGACGGAATTTGTAATTTAACCAAAAAGTAATTTTTAGGGAAGAAAAAAAGATAAGATGGGGCCCACCCATAGGGTGAGGGGGTGGGAGGAGACTGAATGAATGAATTGAAAAGGTTGTGTGTATGATTCCACTCATGATTTGATGGTTGCCTCAGCTTAGCTGTCCACTGGGCCCCACTCCTTCCTTTCATCCTAGCCGTTCTTTCACTCCCTTCCATTTTCAACGCTCCCGATTTACTCTCCCACCTTTCCAATATTTTGCTTCCTAATTCACACGTTCATTTGTATTCAATGCAAAACTAGATCAAAGTTAAACTTTTTTTTTTAAATAGTAAGTAAAGATATATATAATAACTATATTATTATTATTTCACTAAAAAAAACTATATTATTATCATTATTATTAATTTTCAATGTAAATTTTAGATCCAGATTCTAACGAACAAGATATGCACATTAGTGTTGGACATACTTTAATGTTTAAGTAAGTCAAAGAGTTACTTGCAAATAGCAAAAGGTTAGGTTGTATAATGTACGGCCCACCAACTCGACCGATCTAGTCGAATAATCTTGCTCTGAATTGGTCAGGTGGTACAACGTAAGTGGCTCGAGCTAAGCATCACTTCAGGTGAGCCTAGTACGGTAATTTTACCCGTAAAATTAATATTAAATAATACTAACCCACACATTCACCTCATATATTTTTGCTAGATGAATTTAAAAAATCCTCCTTTTATGAGATTGTGACTATGTTTTTAATAATTCAATTCTTTGATCATGTAAGTTACTGTGATTATAGTCAATTCGATCATATAATTCAATTGATAAAGTTACTGATTAATATTTTAAAATTTGATGGTTCGATTAAAATGTATTTTCAATTTTTTGAGTGAATATATCTAAACAAAAACAACTCAAGGGAAAAGGGAAGGGAAAGGAAGGCTTTTCTTTTTCTCCCACCAATGAAAAAGAACCAAAAGCAAAGAGGCCAAAGACATGATACCCAAAGAGAAGGGGGTGAAAAGCAAAAAGTGGAAAAAAAAGGGTTGGTAAAAGAGAGGTTAACCATGGTTAAAAAGTGAAGCCCTCCCCCAACCATGGTTAAAAAAAAAAGAGAAACTTTTTATTTAATTTTTAAAATTGTGAAGGACAAAAGAGGCAAAGAGTTGGGCATATTTTGGAGAAGCAAAAGTGATGATTGGGGATAATTGGAGGGGCTTTTCCCTCTGACAACTTCACTTGCTTCCTTTCCATCATTGAATTTAAAGAAACTCTTTTCTTCCATTTCCCCATTCCCCCATTTCTATATAATCCTCTCTTCTCCCCTTCTGCTTGGACCACACAAACAAATTCTCTCTCTCTCTCTCTCTCTCTCTCTCTCTCTCTCTCTCTTGAAACTCAAGGATTTTATTTGCAGTGCACAATGATGGCTGCCAAAGATGATCTCGGTTTGAGCCTTGGATTGAGCTTCCATTCCCACCGCCTCGCTTCCGATCATCATTTGCAGCTCAATCTCATGCCCTCGCCTTGGAATAACGACGCTACCTCCTTCCCTTCTTCCTCAGGTTCGATCTCTGAATTTTTCTTTCGAAAAACAGAGGTCTCTGTTACGTTTTTCCAGCGAATTAACCGTTGAGATAATTGAAATCGAAGAGAGAAGGGGATTGGTTTGAGTTTTGATTTTGTAATCGAAGAGAGAAGAGGATTGGTTAGAGTCTTGATTTTGAAATCGAAGAGAGGAGAGGATTGGTTAGGTTTTTGATTTTGTAGTCGAAGAGAGGAGGATTTTGGTTAGGTTTTTTGCGATTTTGATGTTCTTGGTGCATGCTGATGTTGATTTGTGTATCGGTATTTGCAGATCGGACGTCGGAGACGGGGCGATCGCTGCTCCGGGGGATCGACGTGAACCGGATACCGGCGACGGCGGCGGATTGCGAGGACGAGGCGGCGATGTCGAGCCCTAACAGCACGGTTTCCAGCGTGAGCGGGAAACGGAGTGAACGCGAAGAAGCCAACGGCGAGGATCTGGACGGCGACAGAGCTTGTTCCAGAGGAATCAGCGACGAAGAAGACGGCGAAACTTCCAGAAAGAAGCTCCGCCTCACGAAAGATCAGTCCGCGGTCTTGGAAGAAAGCTTCAAAGAACACAACACTCTCAATCCTGTAAGTACTGTTCATCGCAAACGTATTTTGCTTTTCATTTTCTTTTCCAAAATTTTCTCGGTAGCCAAACACGAGATTATGAGGCGAAAATTCATGGGGGTGTTTTCGTAATTTTGTGCAGAAACAAAAATTGGCGCTGGCTAAGCAGTTGGGTCTCCGCCCGAGACAAGTCGAAGTTTGGTTCCAAAACAGAAGGGCAAGGTGAGAAAATTTCCTCAATCTCCAAGGCCATTTTAGTCAAAACGCTAGTTTAAATCCGGAATAAAAAAATTTCAAATAATTTCGTTTTAATCAAATCTAAGTTCACTTAAAACCCAACCCTTCTATTTTTTATTTTAATTAAAATACTATTTTCGAAATTACTTTTTATTTGGGGGATTTTCATTTTAATCCCTTTGTTTACAAATAAACATTTGTGTTTTGTTATATCGACTAAAATATATAAAAATTGATAATAGATAGACCAAAATAAATAAATGATAAATGTTAGGAACCAAAACAATATTTTAAGTTTTACCATATTATTTCACCCATTCACGGGTCGAAATACGAACTTATCTCAATGTTTATTAACACTTGTCTCTGATTAAGAGATCATGAGTTTGACGTCGAACTCTATATCTAGTACTAAAAGAAAGAGAGTTTAGAAAGTTAGGGTTGTATTCAAAATTGATTAGAGAGGATAGAAATTGATGAGAATATATTTATAATTGAATGTAGAAATTAAATTAGTTTGTTTTATGGGTGTGTTTTAGGACGAAATTGAAGCAAACGGAAGTAGATTGCGAGTTTCTAAAGAGATGCTGCGAGAATCTGACGGAGGAGAACAGGCGGTTGCAGAAAGAAGTAGCAGAGCTGAGAGCACTGAA